CCCCAAAACCCCAAAACCCCAAAACCCCATAAAGATAAAAACATCAGAGTATTGAAAAGAATCATAATAATAGTAAATATAATAAATTTTAAATTTTAATGGAGGATATATATTAGAGTACCTCTAATGGTTAGACTTAAGACTCTATGTCTCACAAGCAAAATAAGGAGATTGACAAGTTAAAGCTAGCTAAAGCTAAGAGGAGATAAAAGGTAAGTCCATAATATGTCAACAGCCCTTTTTAGATTTATTGTAGAACAAGGAAAATAAAAAGAAAAACAAACAAGATGCTCTCTAGAAAGACATCGACGATAAAATCAGTATTCTCAAAAACTTGATTCCCTCTCAAATTTAACAATTCAATGGGAGCCATCTCAATTCTCACACTGATGTCGAAATGACCAATAATGGTGACATAGATCATAGTATGAATAATGGTGATTTAAACAGTAATCATTCAATGAGTCTAAATGGTAGTGGACCTGTAGCAATAAATAATGGCAAGATCGATATGAGCAATATTGAGTTTGAATATATCAGCATGGATGATACAATACTAGCCCCAGGAAGAGTAATTATACATAATTATTTAACCTATCTATAGCATGTAGCTGAATTCAAACACATATTTGAGCATTTCACTACACCTCTTAATGCAGATCTAGGTAAACTCAAGAAAAAGGAAGATGACAAAAAGAATACTGAGGAAAAGGATGCTTTTACTAAGACTACTGAATTACATGAAGGTGAGGAGAAAAAAGAGAAGTAAATGTCAAAGAAGCAAAGAAAACTCATGACAAGGATGAAGGTCTTTGATTTAAAAATGAAAATCAAAAGGCCGGACTTGGTGGAGGCTTGGGATGTTACCTCCAAAGATCCCCTATTCCTAATGGACATGAAAATGGTTAGGAACTCAGTTCCAGTTCCTAGGCATTGGTCTCAGAAAAAAAGATACTTGCAGTACAAAAGAGGTATTCACAAGGCACCTTTCAAGTTGCCAGATTTCATTGAAGCTACTGGAATAGGCAGAGTTAGAGAATAAGCTCATGACAAGCATAAGAGTTTGAAGCAGAAAATGAGAGAGAGAATGCAACCAAAGATGGGCAAAATAGATATAGACTATCAGATACTTCATGATGCATTCTTCAAGAATTAAAAGAAGCCTAAACTCACTCCTCATGGAGATCTATTCTATGAAGGAAAGGAGTACGAAATTAGAATGAGAGGTTATAAGCCTGGTAGGCTTACTCCAGAGCTTAGACATGCACTTGGAATACCAGAAAATTCTCCCCCTCCCTGGTTGATAAACATGCAGAGATATGGCCCACCTCCTGCTTATCCAAATTTGAGAATTCCAGGAGTTAATGCTCCCATTCCAGAAACTATTACTTACGGTTTTGGTAGACTATTTACTGATGAAAAAGGAAGCACAGTTTATGCAGATTGTCATGGTTTAAATAAAGCTATATATCAAAAGAGATAGAATAGAAAACCTTACTGGGGAGCTATCAAGGAAACAGCTGATGAGGAAGAAGATGAAAGCATGGAAGAAGAGGAGGAGGAAGAGGAAGAAGAGCCAGAGTTTGAAGGCATTGGTAGAAATAACCTTGATATGCTTGATGAGTATTAGGAGGAGAAAAATGATTACGAAGAGAGAACCACTCTTGATGATCTTAGAGCAGGAATATCATCCTTGATATAAAGCACAAATCAGAACTTAGTTAATTAGGATTCAAAGTCAAAGATGCCACCACCTCCTTCAGAACCTAGACCACTTTACGAAATCATCGAGGAGGTTAAAAATAAGGTAGGAGATCAAAGTGATATCTTTCAATCAGGCCATGGGTATAAATTACCAACTACTTCAGGAAAAGAGACTACTTCTACTGCTGAAGCTGAGGTCAATATATCTAAGGTTATTGTGGATAGCAAGACAGCAGCAGAAAAAGAGGAAGAGAGAAAGAGAAAAGAAAAAGAAAAAAAAGATAAGTATAAGTTAAAGTTCTGAGTTCAAACTATAGCATGTATAAAGATATTAGAAGAGATACAACAGAATTAAGGACAAAAATTAACTCAATTAATTGCAAAATAATTATCTTTTACCCAAAAAAATTCTGAATTTAAGAGTATTAGGGGTTTTGGGGTTTTGGGGTTTTGGGG